ACACAGACAGACACATACATACACACACACACACACACACACACACACACAGATAGATAGATAGATAGATAGAGAGAGAGAGAGAGAGAGAGAGAGAGAGAGAGAGAGAGAGAGAGAGAGAGCGAGACACATACAGAGAGAGAGAGAGAGGGAGAGAGAGGGAGAGAGAGGGAGAGAGAGAGAGAGAGAGAGAGAGAGAGAGAGAGAGAGAGAGAGAGAGAGAGAGAGAGAGAGAGAGAGAGAGAGAGAGAGAGAGAGAGACGTTTAAACGGCAGGAAGTCTGTTTCAAACTGTTGATTAATTGGCACAGCGTATTGGTCCAATAGCCCCGGTGTTTTCATTCTATTTTTATCAAGCAGGACCAGCTTGAATATCGAGACTTTCACTGAATGGAAATAGACTTGGAAAAGCAGCTGACTACCTTTCCTAATAGCTGACTACGAGTTAAAAAAAAATAAAAGGATTTTGAGTGATTGTGTTACATACGCTCTAAAATACCGGGTTTCACTTGAATAATTTTATTTTTCGATGAAGGTTTCGCACATCTTTTCAGATTCTGGATCAGCTTATATACATGAATTGATATTTTCACGCATGAAGCAATTGCTCAGTCACGAACGAAGCAAAGTGTCAACAGACAGGTGGAGTTCCAAGTGCATTTTGTATTCATATTAGTTAGGGACATTTTGTATCATAATAATACAAAATCATCTATAAATAACAGACACTTTTTAGCGTATATATTTCCATGGTATAATCTATGAGTCGTTTCTTTTATCGATGAAATATTTTAGTATCGGTATTTGCCATGAAATTCATAGGTAGTCATGAATTTGATACTGACGCACTCAGAAGGTTACCAGCCCCCCTGTATGTACATTGTAAGCAGTCATTCACAAAGTAAGATAAGAACAAAAGAATGTAATTCAGAGACGCCAGAAGATTAATTATATCACACTCACGTGCCTGCCACCAATTATGAGCGTCTTTCGGCACTCTGACAAAAGAACTTGAAGAGTTTAATGGTGATTTTTAGTAAAAAAAGGGACCAGTACAAGCTTTTCTTGGACAGTGTGGTGGTCGTAGCTGTCATTTAACATTATGATTTGGTTGCAGGGTTCTCAGTTGCAGACCATACAGCTTTTTATTAACAATGCAGTATGCTTAAGACACGAGTCCCGTGTTGGAAGCCATTGTGGGTTAACTATCAACATCTCTCCAGCCTTATACAAACGCACAAAAGAAAAAGAAATTTTGTACATGTAAGTGATTAATGTCACATTAGAATAAAACACCTATTATTTTTCCCTAGTCCCTGCAATAAACGGAACTATAATAAAAGAAAACGAGTAATCATAGAAAACGGTGACTTTTGGATAGACCCTAAACAATTCTGTGAACTGGGATCGAAAATTATCCGAAATTTGGTAATCGAATTAAAAACCGTCCGGGTTTATTCTACGGGAGATTAAATAATATATAAATTCAGCAAATGGACCATATTTAGTATGAGGTAGTGGCAGAGTTGGGTAATAAAACCTACATGGAATGATAGAACAATACAAACCAAGACAAAGTTATTCTATGTCAATATGTGTGCAAATGCTTCCCAAAGGTACTATACGTAAAAGAAAAGAGATCCCCCAATTCTGGCCAAGTCGCTCATCTTGTTTACTTTCCGAGGGTGAATTCTAGACGCATATACTACCACGTTTTGCTAAACAATCTCGGGGGTCCTGTTTTACCCCAAAATTTCCCTGATATACTTCATGCCCTCCCCTGATATCGAGACTATCAAATCAAGATTGTCGATGGAGATGGTGATCCTATCTCCTCAACGATTCATTTGCACAAGAAACAATGCCTAGAATCGTTGAAAGCAGTGGATTTCATGCAGAAAAATATCAAAATTGTTTCGAAAGTAACTACATATTGACCCAGAAAATATTTCCTATACCTCTTTCTATTACACACACTCGAAGCACAAGCACGCGCACACGCACGCACACACACACACACACACACACACACACACACACACACACACACACACACACACACACACACACACACACACACACACACACACACACATATATATATATATATATATATATATATATATATATATATATATATATATATATATATAATACAATATATATACATATATTATATAATATATATATATGTATATATATATATATATATATATATATATATATATATATATATATATATATATTATATACATATACAGTATATAAATATATATACATTTATATATGTATGTATTACATTTCATAATCCTGTTAAACGATTTACATTAGACAATCAGTTTGAATTTCATTCGCAATGCTTATATAGTTGCATTGATCCGCCATTGACTGGGTCTATTGGTAATGCCAAAGAATTTGCCCTTTATACCATTATATGTTAAAAACGTTTAGAACACTCGTTCTCTTAACTCCCAATTACTTATGTTGTTGCTGGTGACTCATCTTTCACCATCCCCCACTTACTTTTGATAGTTCTGGTTACCAATCGAACACCGAATATATGTGTGATGTATATTATTGAGCAATAATGTTAAATCGGTTTCCTCTGAGGAGTGTTAATATACTAACATTGCATTCCAGATATCACTTTCATTCGAATGTTGTGTCTGCTCGGCGTCCCTTCTGCTTTTGGTGCTAATTGTGAACGCTTCAACTAGATGTAAGTGGAAGAAACGTGTGTATTATTATTGGGAAAGAAAATCCTGTAAGGCCAGGAACTTTTTAAAATTTTTAAATTCATTGATATTTTAACTCTGCTGACTTAGTTCCAGCAAACAGCGATAAGAATCCTTGTTTGCGTCGAATGTTTATCCACGCCCCCGAGAAAAACAGAGAGAGAGAGAGAGAGAGAGAGAGAGAGAGAGAGAGAGAGAGAGAGAGAGAGAGAGAGAGAGAGAGAGAGAGAGAGAGAGAGAGAGAGAGGAGAGAGGGAGAGAGAGAGAGAGAGAGAGAGAGAGAGAGAGAGAGAGAGAGAGAGAGAGAGAGAGAGAGAGAGAGAGAGAGAGAGAGAGAGAGAGAGAGAGAGAGAGAGAGAGAGAGAGAGAGAGAGAGGAGAGAGAGAGAGAGAGAGAGAGAGAGAGAGAGAGAGAGAGAGAGAGAGAGAGAGAGAGAGAGAGAGAGAGAGAGAGAGAGAGAGAGAGAGAGAGGGAGAGAGAGAGAGAGAGAGAGAGAGAGAGAGAGAGAGAGAGAGAGAGAGAGAGAGAGAGAGAGAGAGAGAGAGAGAGAGAGAGAGAGAGAGAGAGAGAGAGAGAAGAGAGAGAGACAGAGAGAGAGACGGAAAGAGAGAGAGTGAGAGAGAGAGAGAGAGAGAGAGAGAGAGAGAGAGAGAGAGAGAGAGAGAGAGAGAGAGAGAGAGAGAGAGAGAGAGAGAGAGAGAGAGAGAGAGGTTTATACGCTTTCTCTGAAGTACACTAGCACGCCGTTCCACAATAATCTCCTCTCCACCGGTCACAAATTAAGCCGCCGATCCGGTCAGGAAGAAACTCCTCCCGCAGGTCAGGTAACACTCCCGGAGGCGCCGTTCCGGAAGCGGCGGCGGTGCGCTCCCTCCCGTTTGGCGAGGAGGAGGGCAGCCCGGCGGAGGCCCTGCCGGGGGACGCAGCTCTGCCCTCAGCGTCCCATGACTTGAAACACAGTCGCAGGAAGGGCGGAGGAAATCTAGAACTCTGATGTTGAGAAATGGCAGAGTTTCATTCAGCTTGAGATCAGCTCCGTCGACCCGAGCGGTGAATCAGCAAGGCGGAAAAACAAGCAAAAGTGCGGAAACCCCCGTCATGCTTCATCGCGTACTTAACTCACTCCGCCGAAGAACGGTACTCTACTGCTGAGTTTCACAAGCCTGTAAAACCAATACGGATTGATTTTTCCTAATTAAACAAGATTCTCTCTTATTTTTTTTTTCTTCTTCTTCGCAAGCAGCATACGCTCCCAGGCCGGTCGCGCTCACACATACGCACATGAACATACGCACACCCACGCCCCTTCCCTACCCCCCCCTTTTCCCCCCCCCGCTCACATACGCACATGAACATACGCACACCCACGCCCCTTCCCTACCCCCCCTTTCCCACCCCGGACACTGACACACCTCCACGTGACTCGCTCTCTGTACTTGCTTTGCCTAAGATGATACTCCACTGAGGATTGATTCATAAGAACAATTCCTCTTGTAAGTGGAGAGGTAAAATTTCATGTGATGCTTTATTCATGATTTGCGTCATTTTTTTTTCTCTCTCTCTTTTTCTATGCGTAGCTGTTTACCGTGGAAAGAAGTTATTATAAATAATAGGTGATTTTTTTGCTATAATAATCGTAACTAATCATTAGAATGAAAGCTTTTAACTAAGATGATATAGTAACATGCATTCAAATTTTGCAATCTCGTCGACTTAAAAAAAATGCAACATTAGGCCGCTTTGCAAGCACGGTATCTGGTCGCTCCCAGCCCAGAGACCTTGGCCTCGTGCTTGCCGTCTGCTGTGTCTGAGGCCTAATAATGCCGGGTCCCCGAGGCCGAGGGCGGCGGAAGAAGCGCCTTCGTGAGTCGTCGCTCCGGTGGCGGCGGCCGAGTGACTCACCCCGAGGCGGATGACGTCATTCCTGACGGGGACGGCCTTGCCTTTCGGAGGAATGGAGATTTCTGTTACTTTCAACTTATCTCTCATCTTTTTGGACTCTGGCATACGCAGTGCTGAGAGGCGTCGCGCGTTGAATCGTTAAAAATGGCCAGAAACTTTTATTTGTAAAGTCTTTTCTGTATTAATGTGAGTTATACTATCTTGCAAACAATAAGGTATATGATATATTTGTATAAAGCATCATAGAAGGATTCGAATTGCTTATGGACGAAAAGAAACAGTGCGATCGTCTATTGTCCCCATGCATTTGTTTTTGTGATCCTCTATCGATACCGATTCATTCGTCTATAGTATCTGTTGTAAATCCGACATGATTGGAACGAAGTTTTGGTCATGACAACATGGCGCTCAACGGGGAAAGGTCAGCCCTCTCGGGGCTTTCCGACCTCCGCAAAGAGAAGGCAGAGGAGAAGGAGAACCTCTGGTAAGTAAATTAGAAGTTGTGGCTTCCTCGCTGGCCAATTTAGGGGCGCGGGAGAGGCGAGAGAAGCGAAGACGAGCGCGAACAAAGGCGGGTGGGAGCGGCTCCTGGTGACATTCCAGACGTTTTGAAACACCTGAGTGTAATTTGGGCTGATTTTTCCCTCGTGGTTATCTGTGGGAGGCGATTTGCGGCGCTTTTCTCACCCAACACGCGAAACAACAGGGGAAGGACGATGAAAACGGCCGGAAACTCCTTTATTGACTGGTGATGACGAAGGGAAAAAGGGAGACCGTGTTTCGAGTCGTTGCTCATTAGAATTAGAATTAGCATTAAAGGCACGACGGTTTTTTTTCTTTATGGCGACGATCAATTCTGCGGCGTATATTGGGCTCTCTCTCTCTCTTGCAAGGCGAGGTGTAGGTCCGAGGGGCTGACTGTGGGCGTGGGGCCTCATGCTGGCCATTCTAAAGTGGGAAAGATCGATCCTTTCTAGTTTTTTTTTTATGTCAGGATGTTTTGTTGTGTTGTCAATGGTGTCATTTGTGTCATTTGTCATTGGGGTGTGTCCTATGAGTGTATGTGGTATAACTAGTTTGTGACATGTTCAAGATTCGTAATATTTGACACCCTGTGAGTAGTTGTTGCGTTATTATGGCCATTAGCGTTCCGGCATTCATTTCATTTGGTTGTTTTTTTGTTCTGATTGTTGTATTTCATGCACTGTGCACTGCCTCTGATACATCTTCCCCCTCCCCCATGCATTAGAAGTTAAAATGCTCAGCAGAAAACTTTCGTTAAAATTTACTGAGATGTTTCCCGATTTTTTCTAGCCTTGCCAAAATCCCACACTTTTGTTGAGAATTGGAACCTTCTTTTGTATCACTGAGATCCAGAACGAGTAGTTACGTAAGGATGTTACTACTGATAACTGACCTTAATGCCTAGTAAAATATACAAACTGTTTTAGTGTCTTCGAACTGTATACAAGCTAAAGTATAATAATGAGACATTTTGCTGAAAATGACACCTGCATATTTCATGATTGAGACGCACTATTGGGTTTGGCTAATATACGTAGAACAGGAACAATAGCAAAGCAAAGAAAAACAGAAATGAATGAATTATTAATTATTTTCAAATTTGTAAAAATGTCAGTAGCTTCAAATAAAATTAGTGCTGAATTAAATAGTATGTACTAGACAGACCTCCCAGAGAAATTGTCAAATACAAAACCAGTCAAAGATTGTCTTTTTCTAGAGTACCAAAGGCACAGAGGCCATAGTGATTACTTGTTGCATTGGTCACTTTTCTGGGAATTAAATTACCTGTTTTTAATTCGTGACAAGTCCTCGAAGAATGTCATAGAATTCTTTGATTTCATTATTCTGTTTATTGTTTACCTTTTACTGTATGGCTGTCCAATGTAATTTTGCTTATAAAAATAATCTGTGTGAAGGGAAGGTACAGTAAGACCACTTTTGCTTATTGTATTTAGTGTGCTTATGCACAGGACAATGTTATAGCCTCAGTTCTCTGTATTCTGATGGTGGTCAGCTAATGTCTGCTAGGTATATTTTGGCCTTAGACCATATCTAGACCTCCTTGGGGGATTTATCATCTGGAAACAAAGGCCGAGGTCAAGGCTAACTTTTCATAATAATTGTAGTGGATTTTTGTTAGCTATTGCCGAAGCACCAAGCTAGAAGGCCACAACATCTTGCACCCTAATGGCTGTTGGTTTATTTACTGTATTCTGAAGTCTTTTTTTTTAAATTTTGATACGCACAGATGGCTCCACAAGTGCTCAGCCACCAAGGAGCCCATTAGCGGGCAAAGTGACTGAGCTTGATTTCCTCTCTCCTTAAATTTGTAGGGAAATGAATAATTTTACTAGTCTTATTTTTGTTAGTAACCTTATTATAATGTTATTAAAATACTAATAGTGATAGGAAGAATAAGATTATAGTAAAGAAGCTTAACAAAAATCAAGGAAACGTATAAGCAGATGAGATAGTTAGAACTCCTAATTGACTTCTTGGTGATTTAGCACTTGTGCAGCCACCTAGGCGTAAACACAATTATTAAACGAAAATTACAGTAGACATGGCATGTAATCATACCTTCCGAGTTAAATGTGTTATCTTAAACTGTATGTCCAAAAGGATTACAGACAGTAACACCTTTTTGCAGTGGATATACATATATATACATATATATATTACTGTATATATATGTATATACATATTACAAGTTAATATGTAGAATAATCCATGTCTTAAAAATTGCTATGATGATAGAATATAACCATTGGGGACATGTTTCTGGCATCAAGAAATTGAAATTGAGATCCTGCCTTTATTATGCCAAAACCTTGCTAGAG